CCCCCCCCCCCCCCCCCCCTTCCTTCAGCACTTTTATTGGCTTCCCAGACGGATCACCATCACCCGCTAGCTATGGTTGGGAAGAGGTACTGTGACAGTACAGTGTCTCATACAATGACACAGCAGCTAGATCCAGTGCGCTAACTGTTAGATCACCGTTTCTATTCAGGAGTCTAAATGGCATACTCATAACCTATGATGGACTTACGTCACATCCAAGGAGAGAAGCAGAACTCCTACTTAAAGGCATTTCATGTCACAGAAACCCTGATAAGCTTCTCTGTCTTACACGCAGAGTTAAACTTTTGATGTCTCCATTTTGATGATATCTGCTTTTGCTTTCTCATCTGAACAGCTGTGCAAATGGCGGAGGTTACTATCACTATTCCTACTCGGTTGTCCGTGGCTGTGACAGGATAGTTCCAGTAGATATTTACGTCCCAGGCTGTCCTCCCACCGCAGAGGCTCTGCTGTATGGAGTGTTACAGCTGCAAAAGAAGATTCGCCGCAGTGAGCCTATCAGAATGTGGTACCGCAAATAAGGTTAGTACATAATAAGATATTTCTGTTAGATGCCCGAAGCTTCTCTCATTTTTAGTTTTTTAATTTTTTTATTTTTTTAACCCCTTTACACCATATCATCAGTATGCATATTCTCCTCAGTGTTCTCTATACATTTCCGAAGGTGTTGACTAAGAGAATTGGTCAAAGAATGAAGAGTTTCTTTAATTGGTGATCATTTCCTTTATTCTCGTGACCTTAGTGTGTGATTCAGGGACTATACTGTTAGGAGAAATTAAACTCTAGTCACTTTTAGGTGTGAAAGGGTCAAGAGAGGCACTTGTCATCGATTGAATAATAATAATATTCAAAGCCAGTGAATCCTCTAATGATTTCCCGTAATCAATTCAAAATTGCTTTCTGCTTTTCAATCAAAGTTTGTTCCGATCGTATGTTATTTACATTCATTCTTATTTTTGATTTTGCTTCAGGTTTTCGCTGCTTCCCGTTTTGATCCTTTGCTGTGTGATTGTTGGTTTAAAATTCCTTTTTTTACTGTACATATAATGTAAAAGCGCTTGTCGCTCGCAATTTACAGGCTTTGTCATTGAAATTTCTGATTTCACAAGTATTGCAATCATTTCCTGCCCTAATTTCCATATCACGGATATTGTACAAGAGGTAACGAGATCGAAATGACTGTCTAACTGAAATAGGAAAGTCTAGATGTTTCCCTTTGTTTGACAGGTAGAATTGTTCAGAACTAGGAATTCGATGTATGGTGTTTCAATCCTCGGAGAAAAGTGAAAGTAAATGATATTAAAGCTTAGTTGTATGATTGGTGCTTTATTTGAATCGTTTTAAGACGGATGGCTCTGTATTTTTTCTTCAGTTGGGTTACCCTTGGTTGCTCTAAGGAGAGAATGTGACGAAAAGGCAGGGAAATTGAAGCTACAAAAAATTTTTTTAAAACTACGGATCTGATACTTATGAAAGCTGGTTTCTGATCACTTTATTTATTATTTTTTTTATCGATGACGAGAGGAATTTTATATCCCATCCCGCATTGTTTTTTTAAGGCTGTAGAATTACGTGAGTTTGCACTGCCTTGTCCTAGTTGTTTTTAACCGTGTGTACGTGTTGTAAGTGTCCATCGTTTCCTGTATGGCTCCGGAAGGCACATTGGGGGAAAGCTGTCTCTGAACAGGCTTTTAAATAACCTGCTTTAAATTAAAGAACAAATATGATAATGCTAGTTGCACTATCTTCAGATTTTCAGTGTTATTTTATTGTTGTTGCGTATGTTCTTTGCATTGAGGACGTTTTTTCTCATGATTTGAAAAATAATCAATTCCGGGCGCCATTTTGGAGTAAGGTCTAATTCCGCCCACTAATGTGGCGATCTTGAAGGCTCGTAATGAAAAGTGAGGCTGGATGCTCTATTGTTGAAAGCGCCATTCAGTGTGCTGTTCTTAGGTAGTGAAGATTTTCTACTGATTCCAAGCATCATAAACCTCAGCCCTTTGCGGAAACTGGGAAGACGCCATGCGTACAGGAATGGGTTGATGGCAGAATTGCAGATGACGCAGAGAAATGATGTGTCCCTCAACCAGTGGATTGCCTCGCATGAGCAGTTTGTACATAAATTCATGATGTATATTAGAAGGCAAGGTGTCGCGTAGCAGATAGCAAATAGGATCAGAATGCAAGTAAACGTGGAAGTCAATTTTTCCTCGAATAATGTTGCTTTCTGATTCGCAAAGCAGAATCCTCGAAGTGTTTCCTGTCGGAGTTTTTTCCTGCTTTGGATAGTCTTGATAATTTTGAAATAAGCGTAAAGGAGAGAGCAAAGAGTCACTAAAATCACGACGTTGGCAAATAGAAACGAAAAGGTGCGATAGCCCATTGCGAAATAAGGACTTAAAAACGCGGGCGACAAAATCCATATCATTCCCGAAACCACGAATACTCTGAAATGGTTCACATTTCGTCTGTATTTTAGGGGTTTTGCGATCGCGAAGAATCGCTCGAAGGTAAGCGCCATGATGCTTAGAACGGAGACAGTGCAAGGCAAAAAGTACAGCAAATGCAGTAACCTGACAAAATTTGTTGAAGAAAGAGCTCGAGCTTCCATGAGGTGATACACCACTGACATAGGTTCTGTTGTTATTCCGACAAGAACGTCGGTCATGGCGAGGTTGACGATGAAATATGTGAATGGTGTACGCAAGTTTTTAAACTGGGGCGGACATTTAAGAATGACAAGACACACCAAAACGTTGCAAGGAACAGTCACGACTGCCAAGAGTGCAGATATAGCGGCAGTGAAAGAAGACAATGAGGTTGGTGGAGGAACCGTCATACATTTGTCTTGGCCTTCCGTCGCGAACATGGTCGACGAACTACTCAAAAGCTTCAAGCTTAAACTTCACAACTTTTTAAGTTATTAAGTTTGTTACCAGACGTGCGAGTTTCATGAGAACTGTTTTCCTTGTCCTCAGCGGGATGTTTACTTAGTCCTGAAAGTAAAAAAAATAGAGTATATCTTGATATTGCGTTTCCGTTATAAGAGGCTTTTTTTTTTTAGCCGCCAATGCAGAATCAGATCCATATCCTGATATCTCAATTAATAAAAGCGGGATTTCTGCCCCGGAGGTACCCTATCTCGTGAGCTTAAAACAGAAAGAACGCATTTCTAAGGGATGATTTGTCTAAGAATTGTGATCCTAAATTTCACGTCTCTTAAAAGACGCTTTCATAAACATCTAAAACTTCAAAGGCAGTCACTTATGTTGAAATTGACACTTTGGCGCTTGAAAGAAATTTCAGATTAACTATTCCTTTACGATGTTGATAATGGTAATTAATATGAATGCATTCTGGTAACTTTCACCGCTAGAACATTCAAAAGGGTATCTTGATATAAATCTATCTTTGTTCGAAAACGTGCAGCAAAACTTGTTCATTCAATGTCGTCTAGAGGAGGGTGACTTGGTGAATAGGAGAACTTCACAGCTATTGGATTTCGTCAGCTTCGACAAATTGAACTAAAAAATTAATTATTCGCGAACGTGATGCTAGCTCCTCAACCTTCCTTGCGCCAATTAGAAACTTTTAAGATGAAATCAAACTAAAATTTTAAATATCCTTCCCTTAATTAACAAACGTTTTCTGTCCGCGAGTACTCTGGAAATTTGCTTTTCGAACTCGAATACCTGGTGAGTATTTGTAGTTTAAGAAAAGACGTTTCCGACTGACGAAAATTTCCGTCAAACTTTAATTGATATCTGACGTCTCAGATAGCGAAAAGTACGTTTTAAGTCGGAAATAGTCCTCGTGACGCTTAAATTCACGTTTTTGGGTTGTTCAGCCACAAATTTAGTTCGACGTGAGCCTTAAGGGTGTTTGTTCTTTTAAAAAAAAAGACAAATCTGGCTTAAGACGCACGAATCGTGACGTAAGCGAGTTCACGCTCTTACTGTCATTAGCTTATCTTGCATTTGCAGCATTAAATTTCTAGAATAACATAGCGCTAAGAAATGATAGATGTTGATGTGATTAAAAACGAATTCAACTTGCAAGAACTACTTCAGTCTATATGTCCTTACTCTTCAGTTCATTTTAATGTTGAGAGCTGTCAAGTAATTTGAACGCAGCTGTTCTCGTCGTAAATGTTTTTCGTTTCTTTTCCTTCCCACAAAACTTTTAAATCATCGGTTAATTTTTCGAAAAAAAGAATGATTACCAATGGGATGAAACCTTCCTTGACCTACAAAATCTGTAATCATTTATCACGGATAACAGTCTTACAGCAATTGAAGCAAAAATGGAGTGGAAGCCCTTTTGGTGATTTTTGAGTGCAGGTTTACTCTTGTACGAGGAAATGTTGTAGGAATTATATTTCGCTTATTGATATTGAAGATTTGGGAAAGAATTTTTCCAGGCAAATTTCAATGGTAGCGTGGTAAGATTTGGGATCCAATAAACTCCATCATGTTCTTTCTATTAAAGCCGTCTATTTTGCAATACAAACCTTTTTTTTTGTGATCGATGGCCTTACTTGAATTAGTCATACGGGAACATTGTTTATTTCGTGTACCAGTACGTAAACAGGCCTAAAGCGACAAGAATAACGAATAATTGTGATGAAAAAAGGAAAAATTTTGTTTCATGTTACACGCATCGTTTTTAAAACTGAACGGCCTGGGAACTGATTGACCTGCGTGTGCATGCGCACGTTTGGCCCATAAGGTAGCCTCCTTTTCAAGACCATACTTCTAATCACAGCTACGAGTATTTTTATTTCAAGTTACCATGAAAAAAATACTAAGCGTTCGTAGCGTGTCTGTTTTCCTCTTTGTAGTGTTGTATTTTATGTCATGGCTCACTTGTTTGGCCGCTTACCTTTGAGTTGTTGCCGGAGTAATCGGGGTTTTCCCGCATGAACTTGCTAGGAGCTTGTAAACTTTCTGTCACGAATAATCGAACATCTTCCCTCTTTCCCAGTTAGGCATCACTTATTATAATCCACCCTATTATAATCCATCTAAGGCTATTTTACGTCACGTGGTAAAAATTCACCGGAGAGTTATCACGTGATAACCCTTGCCTACGTCGATATTTGCCCTTCTATTATTTCTGTATAAAAGGAGCAAAGCCAGCAGAATGTGTCAGCTCAAGAGTTTCATCTTTATTGCTTTACATGGAAGAAAAACAAACGCGTTTTGTAGACCCCAATCGAACCTGGGGTATTGATACAGGTTGACCGCTTAATACATGTTCGATTAAGGGTATTATAAAAAACGATAAACAACGCAACTTTATGCCATAATTGACCACATAATTGATCACAGAATCTCGCTTGAGTACACTACTTACTTTAATTTTGGGAGAAAAACATGGATCAAAATTATTTGAAAAATTATACTCACTTTGAAGTGGCCGTTCAATACAGGTGAAGGACAATAAAAACATGCCGTTGGGACTCACTCAAAGGTGATGACGTCCGCTCTATAGAGACGACCGCTTAATAGAGGTGAAAATACGATTATGAAGCGGAAACAAATCCGGGATTTAGACAAGCGACCGCTCAATAAGGGATGACTGCTTAGTACAGTGCGGTCTCGATTGGTTCTGGAAAGAACAAAAATGTGAAGCAATTTGTTGTTAACGCGCGATACGAAAATTCATGGGCCCGGGAGGGTTATAAGATAATTAATCAACTTCCCCATATTTCTCTTAAAATAAAGACAACAACAACTTTGTGTGGCTGAAAATGGGGAAGTGGGTGACAAGGTGTTCAGTTAAAAGTTTTTAGCCTCATG